GCAGTCGCCCTAAGACGATGCGGTAGGGGCGCCCCCATGGGTCACCGTCGAGAGTCCCGAGGAGCTCGTCCCACGCTCCCGCCTTGGCCCTCCTGATGGCCACCTGCAACTCAGCCCTCGCCCGGCGGTAGCCCTCGTACAGCAGGGCCTCCACCGCCGGGTCGCGGCGCCGTCTACGGGAGCATAACATAACATAACATAACATAACAGGGTGTCTCAACTATCTTGATCACCTCGAATAATGATTTAATGGTACACTTTATGAAAATTTTAAGGCTAGGAACTTTAATGTCATCAAGACATATTTTATATGGTAGGTGCATTTTTTGTGGGTGGAGACATTTCAAAGATTTTAAGGTCAGCTTGATTTTTTTTAACGGAATAACCTCTTTTTGTTGCCAAAGATCGATACAGTATAAAATTCTCAGTAAAAAGGACCTTCATACGTCCTAAACCTAATAACTAACGAGCTATTTACAAAATAATCACTGTATTGAAATCGTTGAATTGACATTGGCATCAGTTCGAGCACATATAGGTTCCGGATAGTAAGTATGTATTAAAAATTATTTTGCGAAATATCTCGTTATCTATTAGGTTTAAGACGTATGAAGGTCAACACATTTGATACTTAATCGAACTATGGTACAAAAAATAGGTAATTCCGTTTAAAAAATCTAGGTGATTTTGAAATCTCTGAAATGCCTCCACCCACGAAAAAAGTATCTACCTTATAAGATGTACCCCTTGATGCCATTTAACTTCCACACCTCACAATTTTCAAAAAGTGTACCGTAAATTCATTATTCCAGGTGATCAAGTTAGCTGAGACATTCTGTATACAGGGTTAGTTTAGTTTAGTTTAGTTTATCCTCGCTTCTCCCGGGGGAGGGGAAGTGCGATTTCTCCCCCAAGGCCGCAGCTGTGGCTCAAACCGCCGGTAGCTTTCACACAGCCCTGCAATAGGACTGCGGTGGGCATTACCCGGGGAGACTGTTTCCCCCGGTTTTCCAACCCGACCAACTTTTTTAGGCCCGGGCCACATGGAGGCGAGGAAGTACTCGCCCGGGGGGCGGAGAGTCACTAGGATCGTCCCATCCCTACCTGAGAAATTAGCTAAAGGAGTATGGTCGTCGGGGCAACCGATCCTTTGTCTCCAAAGTGAGTACCGGCTCACTCTTTGCTTCACCCACAGACCGAGTCTGTACCAGGGGTGGAATCATCGTGCTTGCGTACGTTCCATCGTCGAGAGAGAGCTGTGTCGCCTGTTTCAACCCCCTAGTGAGTTACCTGCCTATGTCCCGAATAATTCAGGAGCCCCCCCTCCTCTGGTACCCTTCGCAAATTACCACCCCCCTTCAAGGACAAGAAGGGAGTCCCGGGACTCCAAAAGCGATACATGGGGAGGCCGTTCTAGCCGACCTCAAGGTGAGACGTGGTCGGGTTCGGCGATCACCTCCCCTGGGAGCCGCCGTGGACCATAAATGAATCCACCGCCATGTGAATCTAGTCTAATCTATAGCTGGGTATGTGAGTTTAATAGAAGGGAAAACGAGATAGAGTAGGTCGCGCCCTCCCCCCACCCTAGAGTCTGCAAGGAATGCGACGCGAGACGGCAGCCCACCGGACTTCGCCGAAAATTCTCCGAGGAGTAAATATCAGCTTCATCAGGGACCGCCGTTCGCGTTCTGGGTCGAAGAGCGCACCCGTCCCTACTGATCGACGCTCTCTCTCTCCGGCGTACCACGGATCGTTGCAGCGTGTGCCAAACGCCCCCTGCGACCCGTCGACATATGTGTTCCAGGGTCGCGGTGTTTTACCGGCACGTGGGGCCTGTTTTTAGTAATGCCATACTATACGTCTGGCGCTTCGTTCATAAAGAACTGCCTTCCAGATTACGATGTCCGTGGGGCTCGTTGGGCCGATGTCTCGCAAAGTCATGCTCTTCATGCCTCCGAGACTCGGTGTGCCAGTATACGCCCCGCTGTCCGGCATCGCAATCGGGCCCCGTCGCGTGAAAACTAATCAAGCGGGACGACCAGGCCTGAACCCACCTTCCCTCGGGCCCGATTGAGCGATCCTGGTGTTTGGCGTCCTGTCTCTGTTCCTATGGTGTCCGTTCAGAGGTCCACCAAGGTCCAGTGTGCGACCGTGCGTCTTTAACCGCTATCCCGTAGGTTGTCCGGTATCGGTGTCCTTTGCCCACGGAACGTCGTCACGGGCCGGTGTTTGTGTATGCGTTCGGTGTACGCAGGCCCGTACCGACGTCCGCGATCGGACTCCCCGACTCCTATCTTATTCTAACTCGAGAACGAAGGGGGAATCTTGCATCGGATATTCCGTCCGTGGACGAGTACCTCTGCCTACCCCCTTCACGGACGGTCCTCGGGTTCCGGGCCCTCACCGCCCCCGGGCTACCTCCCGGAACCCACCCGGTCCGTTGTTCTCCGCGGATCCTGTGCTTTGTCGCCGTGACTTCCCGTGGAGGGTACTGGCTCTTATGAGAAAGAGTTTTCCGTCGTCCTAGAGTCACGGAGGGGACTGAGAGGCAAATTGCGGCTGGAGTTGACAGGGTTCCCCATCTGCCTTGTCCCCCGTGCCGCCTCTTCACGAGTAGTCTTCGGGGAGCGTGTCAGTGGGCGACTTCCGCCCCTTTGCTCGCTCCCCTCCCGACTCGTATCCCGTCGCACCTCCTACTCGGGTTGGATCCGCGTTTCTGCCCTATCTTTTACCAGAGAACCTGGAGCATCCTATCCCTTCACCCTTGAGAGTTCCCGGTAAGTGGTCCGGTTGACCTCACGGGGCCGGGTGGGGGGGGGGACTGAGAGGGAGCTTTGTGTCTGGATGGGAGCCACCGATGTCTCCCATCCTGCACCCTCCCTCTTCACGTATGGTCTTCATAGATCGAGCTTTGGGGCAAACATTAGCCCCACTCTTTCTATTCCCACTACGTATCCCTATCGTGCTTCCTTCTTGCGAAGTCAGGCTCCCGTGGTCGCTACTTCCCGGTATCTTATTTTTCTAAGTATATCCTAAGCGCGGCTTTGACACGTGTTCCTACTTAAACTCCTACCGGCCCCCTCTATTCCTTATCCTCCCCTGAATTGTATTGGTTGTGGAATCTAGGGAGTGTGAAGCCTCCCCCCTCTATTCTTTTCGTTCCTCCTTTCATCATTGAACTCCCCAACACCTACCCGAGCTTGCCTCCCTCCTTCTTGCCCCCGTTTTTAACCCCCCTCCCTTTTCTCCCCACCTTCCCTACGCTTATAACTATCGTTTCCCCCCTTTTTGGGTTCTCTACCAACTCAACGCACGCTATTCATGTTTTATTTGTATATTTTTATTTTATTTTTACATCCTAGCTGTCGCGTCGCTACATAGTTTCTATAATTGTCGTAACATTCAGCATCCTTCCATCCTTCGTTTGTGCGCCGATAGCGTATTGCCCGTCTTATCGTTCCGTTCATTCGTTCGTTCGCTCTGTGTCCATTATTATTTGTCCTTAGCATCCTTCGTATTTATCTTATATATCTTATCTGTTACCTGCAATGGATTAAAAGAGGAAACATTAGCTTCCCCCCCAGAACCAAACTTCCTCCTCCTCCTCCTCTTCTTCCCTTGGTCGGATCCTGTCCACCTCCTGTGCGAATTCCTGGATTCCCTTTATCGACAGCTGGGGTACATCCTCCTCGTCCAAGATCGCTTTGCGGAGCTTCTTGAAGCGAGTCTCCATCAGCCCTGTGCATTGCATCAGTATATGCTCTGCCGATTCGGCCATGTCCTCGTCGCAGAATTCACATCGCTCCTCGTGTAGTTCTCCCATCCGCGCCAAATGGTGATGATGAGAATGGCGTGTCCCGTCAGGAGTCCCGCCACTCTTCTCGTGTCCTCGCGTGGAAGGTCCATCAGTTCCCTCCAGTTCTTGTAGATTGGGTCCGGTCCAATCAGCTTCTTTGCCACTCTGCATCCCTCTGCCGAGTCCCACTTCCTTTTTCTCTGGCCCTCGCGCCATTTTCTCCTACTGAGGGCGAATACCGCTTCCGCTAGCGGCACCTGTCTGGGTACTCCCTCCGGCGGGGCTCTTCTTGATCCCAAATTCGCCAGCTTATCCGCTAGCTCGTTCCCTGAAATGCCTTTATGACCTGGCACCCAGCACAGCATCACCTTGTTGCCCCTGGATGCCAGTTCGTTGAGGTGCTCCTTGCATCTCTTGGCCGTCACTGATGTGTGCATGAGCCTTTGTACGCTCAGCAACACCGCCTGGCTGTCCGTAAAGATACGTATTACTTTTTGTTTCGTACCTTTGTCCATGAGTAGTTGCACGCACTTTATTATCGCGTATGCCTCCGCCTGGAAGACTGTTACGTTCCTCCCCAGGCTCGCGTAATGTCTTTCCGTGGTCCCGTTCGTCCATCCGGCTCCTGCCAGATCGTTCCTACCCGATCCGTCGGTGTACCAATCGATATGATCCCCCGTAAGTACCTCATTTTCTCTCCATTGTTCCCTGGTAGGAATTATTACCTGAAAAAGTTGCTGCGGCACCATGCTAGGGGCGCATCTGTCTTGGTCCATGCTTATCCAGTTGTTCATCTCCACGTCCGCTTCGCTTTGAATTATCGATGCGTATCCATAGCTGTTTCCCGTCCAGCTATTCCAGCATTTCAGCCTGTGCGCCGTTCTAACTGCAATGTCTACGATTACCGTGTCCAACGGAGTTGTGTTCGTTAGTACCTCCATTGCTCTCAATAGAGTGGTACTTAACGAACCCAGGGCTCTTCTGAGTGCTAGCCCCTGGAGACTATTTAGTTTATTTCTCACAGTGGTCATTTTTGCCGCCTGCCACCAGGCAATGGCCCCATGCGTCACCCTTGGCACCACTATGGATTTATAGATCCAGTTTGTGATGCGGGGGGAGAAACCCCATGTTCCGCCTATTGCTCTACTCACCATATACAAGTTGTTTTTTCCGCACGTTACTTTGTTGAACACGTGCCTTCTCCATAGTAGCTTCTTAGTGAATAGGACTCCTAGAAATTTCACTTCGTCTACTAATTTTAGATCTTTACCTTCGTATATCAGAGGTTCTGTTGCCGGTATCTTTATACGCTTTGTAAAGCGCACCACTTCCAACTTGTCCGGGTTGACCGATAGGCCCGTACTATCGCACCATATCTTCAGGATCTCCAATGCCTCCTGTGCTTTATCGTAAGCCTCCTGGATATCGCCGCTGGTAGCCAGAAACACTACGTCGTCCGCGTATGCTGATATGGTTACTCCACAACCTTCTAGCGCGTGTAACAGTGAGTTCACCGCCAGGCACCACAGCAGTGGGGATAATATCCCACCTTGCGGGCATCCTCTGTTCACGTAACCTGAAACCGAATGGCCCCCTCTGGTTGCCACTAACCTTCTTTTGGTCAGCATGTTGGTTATCCACATCTTTAGTCTCGGGTGAATGCTCGGATATAGTGCTTTAGATGTAGTGCTTTACTTTCAGCGCCTTCTCGATTGCCAATGTTACATTGTGCAATGCTGTTTCGACCCAGTGTCCTGTTCGAAAAGCGTGTTGCTTATCGTGTTGTGGTGTGATCGGAAAGACATATTCTTTGATATATCGATCCATTAGTTTCTCCGCCGTTTTTAGCGTGAATGAAGTCAGACTAATGGGCCTAAAAGCCTTAGGTGTGGAATAGTCTGACTTCCCTGGTTTAGGAAGGAATATTACCTTCGTTGCCGTACATTCCTCTGGTACGAGACCAGTAGCGAAGGAGGCCCTGATAAGCTTTAAGAAAGATTGCTCCCCCATAGGGAACATTTTCTTTAGGACTATTGGATATATTCCGTCCGGTCCTGGTGCCTTATAGGGGCTGAACGATCCAATAGCGTCCCGTAGTTTGTGTGGCGATACTATCACATTGGTCAGTGCCCAATGTGCCCCTGTCTCCTGTATCGCCCCCGTGTCTACCTCTGATGGGGATTAAGGGAGAATCCCGGGAAATGTGTCCTCAGCAACTCTCCTGTATACAGGGTGCTCGACAACTACTGGGAAAAAATTTAAGGAGCGATTCTTTGAGGCAAAATAAGACGAAAATCAAGAATAAAGAAATTGCGAAAAATACTTTGTTTGTTAGTTATAAGCGTTTAAAAATTGACCCAAATCATGGCAATCCGCGCGCACGGAGTGTCAGCGGATCACGGCTCATCAGGGGCGTGCAGTCATTTTAAAGACTCAACGACGTGCAGGAAAAGTCGGTAGAACAGCTGTTATTAGCTGTGTTAGCTGTTACCCCGTAGAAGATGTCGATAACTTGTGCTCGCGGTATTTGAGTCGAATCCACCTGCATCGCAGGGTAAGTGAAACTGCTCTATCGACTTTTCCTGCACGCCGTTGAGTCTTTAAAGTGACTGTACGCCTCTGATGAGCCGTGATCCGCTTACACTCCGTGCGCGCGGATTGCCATGATTTGGGTCAATTTTTAAACGCTTATAACTAACAAACGAAGCATTTTTCGCAAATTCGTTATTCTTGATTTTCGTCTTATTTTGCGTCAAAGAATCACCCCTTAAATTTTTTCCCACTAGTTGTCAAACACCCTATATACGTCTGTTCTTTATAAGCTCCTCATACGTTGTTATAGGAAAACAGTGTTCTTCGGGCAGCTGCTGGACGGCTGCCTGATGTCGGGGCGGGTCCCGCTCCTGTGGAAGCGGGCGAGGCTGACCCAAAAAAGGGAAAGCGCGCGGGTGACCCTTCGGCTTATCGGCCGATATGCCTCCTCGACGAGGCGGGCAAGCTGTTCGAGCGTGTGCTCGCTGCCCGTCTCTCGAGGTGGCTGTCCGTCGGTGGTTCCGGGCTGGCAGACTGCCAGTACGGTTTCCGCGAGGGCCGGTCGACGCTAGACGCCGTCGACCATGTCCGTGTCCTCGCGGATCTGGCGGTCTCCCGGGGTGGGGGGGTGACGTTGGCTATGTCACTGGTCATATCCAACGCGTTCAACACCCTCCGCTGGGATGCGATACGCGGGGCGCTTCGAGACCACGGAGTGCCCTCGTATCTGCGGGCCGTCCTACGGGACTACCTGACGGACCGGTCGATAGAGTACCCCTGTCAAGGGGGTGCTCTCGTGAGCCGGAGGGTCTGCCGAGGAGTTCCCCAGGGGTCCATGTTGGGCCCACTGCTGTGGAACCTGGGGTTCGACTCGGCGCTGAGCGGGCCCCAACCCCCGGTGTGCGTGTCGTGTGCTACACCGACGACACGCTCGTCATCGGGCTGGGGAGGGACGTAACCAGGGTCAGCCGTCTGGTCGAGGTACCCCCCCCCCCGCCCCCCGGTGTGCGTGTCGTGTGCTACGCCGACGACACGCTCGTCATCGAGCTGGAGAGGGACGTAACCAGGGTCAGCCGTCTGGTCGAGGTGGCGGTGGCCACGTTGGCCAGATGGACTGCCTCTGTCGCGGGGAGCGCCCCAGCCCTGGATTCGGGTCGGGGATACGGCCGTCCGGGTCGGGGAGAGGTTGAAGTACCTCGGCCTTGACCATAGCCCTGGATTCGGGTCGGGGATGCGGCCGTCCGGGTCGGGGAGAGGCTGAAGTACCTCGGCCTTGACCTGGACGGCCGGTGGAGATGGGAGGGCCACTTCGGCCGCCTCGTCCCCCGGATCGAGGGCGTGACGACCCTACTGGGTGGTCTTTTGCGCAACCTCGGGGGTCCGGGGGAGAGGGTCCGCCGCCTTTACACGGGTGTGGTGCGGGCGATGGCGCTCTACGGGTCTCCCGTATGGGCGCCCAACCTGGCGACCTGCCGGCGCGG